ATTCAGTTGCAAATTGGGTCAAGGATAATGGTTTAACTTTTCACCCCAGCAAAACTGTGTTACTCACAATTGTCACAAACAGTCAGTTTTTTCTTAATGATACTGCCATAACTATATCCAATTCGGTTAAAGATTTGGGTGTCAATTTATGTCCAGACCTTAATTGGAAGAACCATATCAATACTAAATTGGGCAAAAACATGCGGAGCTTTTATTATATCAAACGGACTTTTCCTTTTAGCGCCCCGGTAAAGACGAAATTATCTGTGTATGTTGCCTCTGTTCAAAGTATTCTTTTGTATAACTCATATGTCTGGAACCCAAATGTGACTTTGCTCAAAAAACTGGAAAAACTTCACAAGAAAACTGTAAAATGGGTTTCTGGGAGAGATAATTATGTTGCTGCCGTTTTGATTTTACGTACTTTACCCATTTGCTATCAAATTATCCTGAACGACCTTGTTCTTTTCAGTAAACTTCTGCAAAACCGTTATGATTTTAATATTTTTAATCATGTTTCTTTTTATTACTCACGAGCGGGTAATCGGTCCAACAATACAACTGTGTTCGCGCTACCGAAAGTCCACAAGATCACCACATGGGGAAGCTATTTTTATCGGACTGTGGAGAACGCAAACTATGTTTCAGGAAAGGGGATCAACCTGTTGCAGAATCCATCAACTGTGAAAAAAACATCTAGAAACACTGTTGTTCAACAAATTGACGGATTTTAATTTGAACTCTTCAAATTCCTATTTTTTAAAGTGTAAATGCGCGACTTGTCGCGCTTAGTGCTGTTTTTACTTTTTATTTTGTCATTGCCCATTATCAGGGAATAAAGTCTTTTAGTAGTAGTAGTAGTATTAAATGCAAGTGAACTAGTTTTGTTTTTAAAGATCTGATTTATTTCATTAAAATGATGTCACTTTTTGAGCATGATTGAAGTATCAGTTCCTTTCGTAATTGAGTGTTTTTCTTTGTCTTTTGATACAAACACTACAAGTCGGCGCAACATGAAAGACAATAACTACAGAAATAATTTTCAATGATAATTTTAAGAGCAACGTGATTTAAAAAATCTATTTTTTTTAGCATAGCATTAAAGCGAGGCATCAAAAGACTAGTGCTGAGCAAAATTAGATTTTTTTGTACCAGAGTATCTTACATTCGCTTGCTCTTTTATACTTTTTTTGGTTAATTCAGTGCGCTTGAAGTTCTAATTAAATCTTCGAACTTAAAAAAACTGCAGCTTCAAGGTTCTGTTTGATAATCCTGGTTGGGCAATTGACCAATCGGTTTTTTTAACCAAAATTTGAAAGAACATTTAGGAGCGTTATTTTAAGCTAATAAAAAATTTCGCAGCTAAATAGCAGAAAAATATATCGTCTGTTTCTTAAGGCATTTTGAACATGTAGCTTTGATCGTAATGAAACAATTTTTAAGCGTTATTGTTTTTAGACTGGCATCAAGTTGCTCTTGTTCTAGAAAAAAGTATGCCGCGCTGTGCTAGAGTGGGTTGCATGCAATTGCTCACCTGTCAGGTTCTTTCTTTTTTTTCACTCCGCTGATTATTTTTTAAAAATTTTGGAAAGTTAAAAAGTTTGCTCGACGGTTTTGTTAGAGAATCTTCCATGCACGCTGTCTTCTCGAGAAGGGATCCCAATTTGAGGTTGTTCGCTTCTTTTGAAGCAAGATTTGGGTGGTTTGAGCGGTTTTTTTAGACAATTGGACTCAAAATCTTGCTTCAAAATGAGCGGTTTGAGCGGTTTTTGATCGATTTGTAAAAAAAAACGCTCAAAAAACCGCTCAAGATTTGAGCGGTTTGAGCGGTTTTTTAAACAATTATGCTCAAAATCTTGCTTCCTTAAAAGCGGTTTAAGCGGTTTTTGAACGGTTTATCTAAAAAAGTGCTCAAAAACCGCGCAAGATTTGAACGGTCTTGAGCGGTTTATCTAAAAAAAACGCTCAAAAACCGCGCAAGATTTGAACCGTTTTTGAGCGGTTTACCTAAAAAAAAACCACTCAAAAATCAAGCAAGATTTGAGCGGTTTTTCGAGCGGTTTTTCTAGATAAACTGCTCAAAATCACTCAAATCTTGCGCAGTTTTTGAGCGTTTTTTTACATAAACTTGCTTCAAATTATGTGGAAAATCTCGTTTCGGGGAAAGCTTGTACTTTTTTGAGCTTGCAGAAACTCGCAATTGTAAACAAACATAGCCTGAGGTGAAGTGATTTACTGTAGATGGGGGGAGAACCGCCTATCTATCTACCGAATTGACCGACGCCAGATCACTTTTCCTTTCACAGGAGGATTAAATGGATGAGCTCCCACATGATCAAGAAAAATGGCAGAAGCATTCATAGTTAATTTTTCTTGATCATGTGGCTTAAGCAATCATAGTTAAAATTGGGGTAACTAAAAACCCTGCCGGCTTGTATTTGAATCATCAAACTACAGTAGATCACAGCATAGCCTTCTGTGATTCTGCTGTTACATGGCGCTAAGCCTTTTTTTTATATGTTAAAAAAAGGCTTAGCGTATCTGTATGCTGAAACTTTCGATAAAAGGTCAATTTTTGCAAAGAAAGGCTTGAAACTTTTTCAAAGGCCACATTTATTTATGACTACTACTTTCAGCGCACTAGCCCTTGCGCAATCCTGAAAACAATTCTTTAACCATGTAGTATACTGCACGTTCACGTTATAATTTATGCAATTCGAGAATTATTTTTGACTGTTTTTTAACACCCGATAGTTTTTATTACTAAAATGGCTGATCAAACCCACGGAGCGAGCAGAAGATAATCGGGAGTACTGGCTACGGTAAGATAGCCGCACATTCACTATAAGCAGTGTATAATTGAATATGATCCAGGATACTGTCATTGGCTTTTAGCTTAAATGTTGTGATAAAATTTTTAAATGGGTAAGAATTCAAATCTATTTTATTAATTTTCTTTGAATGCACTGTCCAACAGCGGAGGGTGGCCCAATTTTCCTGAAAAGGTAAAAAAAAATGCACGAAATAAAAATTAGCTTATAGGTGGACTTTCGTCAAAATTGGCCGCAATTCAGGTCCCTCCAAAATTTCATCTGCTAATTAGTCCACGTAGACTGAAGCTACAAACGTCGTTTTGTGTTCGTTAAAAGTGCACTGCGCTATAACTTTTGATAACCACGAAAAAAAGTAAAAATTGACAAAAAAAAGACAAAATTTTGAAAATTTCAATTTTACACAACGCTCCATTAGTCTGAACATTTGGCATCACCGAGAATTTAAAATCTTATAACAAAAATATTTTATTTGTTCACACCCTCTGAAACTTAAAGTTTAAAAACTCAAATCTTTTAATGTAAGTTTTGGCCTTTCACGTAGTTCAACAGGCCCAAATTCAAACATCTTCGTACTTCTGAAGGTATTTAAAACATTTTTGTTGGAAATTTAAGGTTGACTGTACTCGATAGACCCGCGCAATCCGTAAACCAACTAAAGCAAGCTCGGTTTAAAACTGCTGCCCGGCAAAGCTAAGTTTGCCAGATAATAAGCTGACAAGAACAGATTAAAGGTTTAATTCCTCAGAATCGAAAAAAGATAACAGTGGTGAAATAGCGAGGTCATTGAAAATAGCAAAGATTGAAAGTTGGAAATCAAAGCAAGTTGGAAAAGCTTAGTATACATTGAAGTCTATCAATGTTTGAGATGTTTGAACAGCGAATAGCCTTTGGAGAAGATAAGCTTTTGTAGGTCACAATCTAATGAGTGTGGGCGTTTCCGGTAATGTGTCCGACTGCAAGATTCTATACATGATGGACATTTTGGCCAATTACCTCACAAGGGTGTTGCTCTTCCTTCGTCAGTTGTTTTTGAACGGCTTGTTTTTAAAAAAAAAGTGCTCAAAAACCGCGCAAGATTTGAACGGTCTTGAGCGGTTTATAAAAAAAAACGCTCAAAAACCGCGCAAGATTTGAACGGTTTTTGAGCGGTTTATCTAAAAAAAAACCGCTCAAAAATCAAGCAAGATTTGAGCGGTTTTCGAGCGATTTTTCTAGATAAACTGCTCAAAACCACTCAAATCTTGCGCAGTTTTTGAGCGGTTTTTTTAAGATAAACTTGCTTCAAATTAGGTGAAAAATCTCGTTTCGGGAAAAGCTTGTACTTTTTTGAGCTTGCAGAAACCCACAACTGTAAGCAAACATAGACTGAGGTGCAGTGATTTACTGTAAATGGGGGGAGAACTGCCTATCTATCTACCAAATTGACCAACGCAGGATCACTTTTCCTTTCACAGGAGGATTAAATGTGCAATTCATCTACCTCTAATGAAACAGAGGTACTTTAATCCAGTGTTGCACGACTGTCTTCGTTTGAAGAAAAAAAGGTTGAAACTGTCACGCTGTGCACCGAAAAGCTTCCTTCCATCACAGTTTTTTTGGGACAAGATTTTGTACAGCTTTGGAAATTAAACAGTTTTGATAGAATTTTCTAAAATGCACTCTCCGACAGCCTAATATTCTTACAGATGCGAGAAAAAGAAAGCACTAACTTAAAAAAAACGGCTTTTTGGTAGATTTTCGTTAAAATTGGCCGCAAATTTTCCCTCAAATTTTCACTGATGATAACTCCACATGCACTAAAACTACGGACATCGTTTTGCCCTCGTTGGATTTTTCCTGACCTCCAATTTATGATTCGACACTGAAAAATTAAAAAACGGATACACTTTTTTTGTGAAGTTTTCGATTTTGGCATGACGCTCGATTAGGCTTAATTTTTTGACATCACCGAAAATTCAAAAGATTATAATAGCGTATTGATTTATTTGAATCGCTTCAATTATTCAAAGCCCTAGATATGGCTATCATCTACGATCTGAACCCTAAAATTGTACAGATTCAAATCTTTTAGATAAGTTTTGGCCTTTACCGCTGTTCACCAGGCTAAAAATTTAAGTTTTGTCTGGTTTTCAAAGGTTGTTGAAAAACCTATGTTCGGAATTTTAAAATGGACCGTCCGTACCCGATGATTGTGTGAGACCAAGAGAACCTGTGAGCCAACTGAAGAAAAATTTGGTGTCAACTCGGTCGGGAAAAGTCAGTCAAATATTGGTGCCAGGCAACGCTAGGCTTGCCAGATATTAAGCTGACAAGAATAGATACCACACATGATCTTAGCCAAAAGGTCCAGAAGCGATAGCTGATATGCATGTCCCTCCACTATGTGTTTTGGTGGCAATATCAAAACTACAGCTCAAACCATACCATTTCTTGATCTATTTTGAAAGATTGGAAGCAATGTCGCTTCAGAATGAGCTCCCATATGATCAAGAAAATGGCAGAATTAAGCAATCATAGTTTTGATTGGGGTAACTAAACACCCTGCCGGCTTGTATTTGAATCATCAAACTACAGTAGATCACAGTATAGCCTTCTGTGATTCTGCTTGTACATGGCGCTAAGCATTTTTTTATATGTTAAAAAAAAAGCTTAGCGTATCTGTATGCTGAAACTTTCGATATAAGGTCAATTTTTGCAAATAAAGGCTTGAAACTTTTTCAAAGGCCACATTTATTTATGACTACTACTTTCAGCGCACTAGCCCTTGCGCAATCCTGAAAACAATTCCTTAACCATGTAGTATACTGCACGTTCACGTTATAATTTATGCAATTCGAGAATTATTTTTGACTGTTTTTTAACACCCGATAGTTTTTATTACTAAAACGGCTGATCAAACCCATGGCGCTAGCAGAAGATAATCGGGAGTACTGGCTACGGTAAGATAGCCGCACATTCACTATAAGCAGTGTATAATTGAATATGATCCAGGATACTGTCATTGGCTTTTAGCTTAAGTGTTGTGATAAAATTTTTAAATGGGTAAGAATTCAAATCTATTTTATTGATTTTCTTTGAATGCACTGTCCGACAGCGGAGGGCGGCCCAATTTCCCTGAAAAGGTAAAAAAGTGCACGAAAGAAAAATTAGCTTATAGGTGGACTTTCGTCAAAGTTGGCCGCAATTCAGGTCCCCCCAAAATTTCATCTGATAATTAATCCACGTAGACTGAAGCTACAAACGTCGTTTTGTGTTCGTTAAAAATGCGCTGCGCTCTAACTTTTGATAACCCCGAAAAAAAAGTAAAAATTGACAAAAAAAGACAAAATTTTGAAATTTTCATTTTTTACACAACGCTCCATTAGGCTGAACATTTGGCATCACCGAGAATTTAAAAGCTTATAGCAAAAATAATTCATTTGTTCACACGCTCTGAAACCTAAAGTTTCAAAACTAAAACTTTCAATGTAAGTTTTGGCCTTTCACGTAGTTCAACAGGCCTAAATTCAAACATCTTCGTGCTTCTAAAGGTAATTAAAACATTTTTGTTAGAAATTTAAGGTTGACCGTACTCGATAGACCCGCGCAATCCGTAAACCAACTAAAGCAAGCTCGGTTTAAAACTGGTTCCCGGCAATGCTAAGCTTGCCAGATATTAAGCTGACAAGAACAGATTAAAGGTTTAATTCCTCAGAATCGAAAAAAATTAACAGTGGTGAAATAGCGAGGTCAATGAGAATAGCAAAGACTGAAAGTTGGAAAAGCTTAGTATACATTGAAGTCTATCAATAGTTGAGGTGTTTGAACAGCGAATAGCCTTTGGAGAGGATAAGCTTTTGTAGGTCACAATCTAATAAGTGTGGGCGTTTCCGGTAATGTTTTCGACTGCAAGATTCTATGCATGATGGACATTTTGGCCAATAACCTCACAAGGATGTTGCTCTTCCTTCTTCAGTTGAGCAGATTTTCGAAAAGTGTTTGTGTGCATCGTCGAACACTTCCTAGGGCTCCAAATTGAACAGTATGGAAGGATGTTTTATGAACCTATATGTTATAAGTGCTCCTCAGTGCTTCTTATTTGGTTGCTGTATCAGTGTCGTGCTGTTTTTGTGTTTCTGCGGACTCTGATGAAATTTTGATATCGAGGATGAGGATTGTCTGGTTTTTGTTTTTGGACAAGCAGGTCAGGCTGCAGGATCCCAAACCATTGCTCTTTGTTGATGGTCTTATGTACAGTAATACTTGCTTCCATGAGATTCCGCGGCTCGTCGTGTCTGCTTATCACTGACTTACGGTTAATTGGACAGTTATTGATCATATGGTTCAATTTCTCTTGATTCAAATGGCAGCGGAGGCAGGTCGCTTCTTGGTTTCTACACCAGCTGATTTTTCCGCGTAAAGGGTTGAGGTTCAACCTAGCACGATGAATGAACCGCCAGTCACAACATTTGGTGTGGAAGCTGTATATCGCCTTAGTCGCATTAGATGATGAGCTGAGCTACTTTCAGCAACTGCCTTGGTCTCGAGCATCTAATAAGGATGCAAGACTCAACTTTGTAAGTGAGGAATTGAGCATTGGCCACGGGTTTTGTTAGCTCAAATCTGCAAGTTGCATGTTTAACCTGTCATGGTGAAGTTGCAACTCGATGTTCAGTTTCAAGTACTTGCGTATTTGCTGCAGGGCTAGAGAAATTTCTTTTGACATCTTTGGGAGTCCAGCTTTCTTATTCTGATTTTTTGCGCGTACCACCTCCTCCTAATTAGACGATCCAATTCCCAGGTCAGCAATTTCCAGGTCAACAACCCATAAATTAAAAAAAGAGTCTTTGAAAATAAAAGCATTGACACATAGTTTCACTTCATTTTAACTTTCGTAAGACCAAGTCAGGAAGTCCAGTTCCCCCTTTTAAGCGGTTCAATTTATTTTTTCAGGTAGACAAAGGATGCGTTTTGCCAACTTTCATAATGCTCGGTTCAAGGCTCTATCAATTATCTTCTGGTTGGTATGTGAATTCTCTAGCAGATGTTATAACATCGGAGTGAGTTTTGTCCTGAGAGCATATAACATTTGTATAGGAGATAGCTGAAAATCAATAATTAGCTGCGCTAAGGTCCAAGCTCTCTCGAAGCAGGCAGGACTCGAGTCCTCCAACCATTGACGCAAATGCGGTTGTTGAAAGAAACTTGTAAGCTCTGTCCTCGTTCACCACTGATACCAGGTGGTCTCCGATAGTGAAGGGTATGGAGAAGTTTGCAGCTCCGCATTTGGCAGGATTGAAGGTGAAGCCCAGTGAATGGGCGCAGTCAATTATTTTCTGCAGGATCCCTGTTGCTTCGGATGCGTCCTCCAACACAACTGTTAAGTCTTCCATTTAGCCCACGCAGGAAGACTATGTCATCTCTCCACTCCTGAAGACCGGATCCTGGATCAGATTGAATAATAGGGCGCTGAGTGAGCAGCTTTGCCTATTACCTCTGGAAACGTTCACTGGGTCTCAGAGTGACTTGTCAGATAGTACGGCTGGCTGTGTAGTACAATCTGTGTAAGCGGACTGTTAGATTGGTATAATCCATTCTGGGCACTGGCTTTGTCGGTGAGCTTCAGAAATGAGTGAGTGTTCCACACTGTTAAATGCATCACTATGCTTAAGATAGAGGATACCTTTCTTGGAGCATTTGGACTCGCTGCCTGTGTGAGATGCCATTGTTCGTCTAGAGCCACGAGGATAATCGTTTGCAGATCATTGATGGGAGAAGTTTGTATGTCACGTTTGATAGCGCTATAGGGCGCAAAATTATCAAGACCTTGTCGATTCCCTCTGGGAAATCGTTGGAAAATTTGAAAAGAAGTACAAGTGCAAGACAGACGTAAAGGTTGGTACGAACGTTTTTATTTTAGCCAAACTAGCGCAGGTCCATCCATCGAGGCCAGGAGCCCACAATTCATGATCGGCACAGGGGGGATCTTCTTCTATCGGCACAGGGGGGATTACTGGTTTTTGATTCAAGTTGGATGGCCATTTGAGAGTTCAGCTTGTCTGGGTTAACCCTGCAGAGAAGTGTTTCGTGCCCCGCATTGTACACTATGGCTCTCTCGTCATGTTGCTACAGTTCAATTTTTGGATCTCTGACGCAATTAGCGTAATCTGCATAGAATGCTGTCTTCTTGACTTCTTGAGTTTTGGGGGAATGAGCGAACCTATTCATTGATCGGCAATAAACATTTCTTCTACTTCATTGGGCGTTTGTAGTGCTAATTAATGCTCCGGGGGTCGACCGATCGTGTATAATGCAGTGGTGGAGGACTTAACCGGGGCGTTCATAGTCTTAATTCATGCACAAGGGGTCTCCCGGGCTAGAAGTTTGCAGGCGAGGGGAGCTCGGAACCGGTTGCTGAAATCATCGTGTGGACGAAGATACAGAACATCTGTCCTGTTCAATTGGACGGGCTACGTTGCATTGACGGGTGGGCCTGCTCAGGACTTTTTGCGTCGCAAATGCTCGGTTACAGGATCTGTTTTGATTTCGATTAGAGGATTCTTGAAATGAGTCGTCGATGGGTTGCGGCTTTTTTTCGATCTGAAAGGCCTCCTTTTAGAATTTGCATTCAAAAAGAACGTCAACTTGATCTATATAAGGTGTCTTCTTTGCGTGGCGGATGATATCGCGTTTCAAAGAAGCTTCCGTGATGACTGCATCGCAATCACTGCATTTCAGGGGCCACATCGTTGGAAACGGCACTCGGGCAATCGTCGTACCCATAATTGCTAGTCATAATTGCAATTTAAGTACTAGAAAATTATCGAAACTCGCTTTTAGTCATAATTGCAATTTAAGTACTAGAAAATTAATGAAACTCGAAAACAAAAAGACTGATAAAAAGATCAATTTATTAACACTTACTCAATTTGAGCATAATTTTTTTGAAGCATCTTCTCAGTTCTGAGTCACAGAATTATATATTTGCGGGGGTGGGGACTTCGGACCGGTTGCTGAAAACCTCGTGCGGCTGAAGTAGAGTGCATCTTTCCTGTTCAATAGGACGGGCTACTTTGCATGGACGGGTGTGGCTGCTCCAGGCATTTTGCTTGGCAAATTGCTCGAGTACAGGAACTTTAAGAAATACAATTTGTTAAACTAAGAAGGGAAAATTGGCAGCAAAATTGGCAGCTGGATGCGAATGATCTTAGTCAAAAGGCACAGAAGCGAAATTGGCAGCTTGATGCGAATGATCTTAGCCAAAAGGCCCACAGGATTTTTTACCCAATGGTTTTTAAGCCAGATCGGCTGGTAAAAACCCTCGGAGCTCACAGAGGATATCTAAGATTGTCGGCTACAGTAAGTTAGACACAGGTTT